CATATACTCATTCTGTTTTCACATACACACACACATACTCATTCTGGTTTCACACATACTCATTCTGTTTTCACACACACACATACTCATTCTGTTTTGATTTTCACACTCACACACATACTCATTCTGTTTTTACACACACACATATACTCCTTCTGTTTTCACACACACACACACATACTCATTTTGTTCTCTCTCTCTCACACACACATTTACTCATTCAGTTTTCATACACACACACATACTCATTCTGTTTTCACACACACACATACTCATCCTGTTTTCACACACAGGTGTGATCTCCTTGTGCGCCCTATCAGATCAACGCCAAAATGGTCATACACCGACCACTCAATGCGTGCTATACACAACTCAGCACCACAGGTAGAACCAAGCAAACACTCTTGGCTTTCCCTACATGTGGGAAACATGTGCCGAACAAGACCAACACGCGCATGATAAGACACACACACACAGGCACATGTGAAGTAAACGTGCTATGATTGAATGGAATAAATCATTGGATTATGTTTGCACACACGTGCTAACTCTGTCACCACACATAGACGTGATCTATTTGTAAGCACCAGTAGATCAACCCCTGAACGTCCGTACAGCCTTCGCGTACGATTCTTCTATACGGCGCCTTGTACTACAGGCAACATAAACTCATACATGTTCTTATGAAGAGAACCTTGGCACCTGACACACGAGCGGATACAGTAAGACCACCCCACGCACACGCTCACACGCACGCACACCCCCACCTTGTCCCTACTCGCATGCGCGATCGCCTGGTGAGTACTATCAGGTCGAAGCCAGACCGGCCGTACAGCAGCAGCTCACTGCGGATCTCCACAAATCCCTGCACGACCGGCAGAATAAACTCATACATGTTCTCGTTGTGCAGGAAGTCTTGGCACATGACATAGTTCCACATGAAGTCTGGGTTGACATTGGAGGTGGACGGTAGACCCTTCTTCTCAAAGGGCAGGCTCTCTTGACGCTGAGTGAGTGTGCGGGGGTGATGAAGAGATGGGTGGGTATAGTAATTGGCAGGGCACGGATAGAAAGTATGGATAAGGATAGTGGGACGACCGGAGCGTGTTTGAGTATATATTGTGGAGGCGATGAGACACACTCCCATAGAATCAAGCGAAATGTGGATGAGTATACTAGCTACCTCAATCATACATAGAGGCTTACGGCATAAGGGCAAACACTATGCGACGTGTGCATAGGGCGATACCGGTCGCACACATTAAGTAGCGTAGACGAATCTGTACCTTGTGCTGATGTGCGACTATGATGTGGCGGTATAGACTTGCCATGATATATGAATGCAATAGGTATAACATGCCATTTAAGCTACAGGCAGAGGTGGGAAGTAGCAGACAAGACAGGACTAGCATCTATAAAAACAA